GTCTAGAAGTTGTTTGATACATTGTCTACTTTACATAAAGATAACGGTAATCTGTACATGTCTAGAAGTTGTTGGATATATTGTCTACTTTACATAAAGATAACGGTACTCTGTACATGTCTAGAAGTTGTTTGATATATTGTCTACTTTACATAAAGATAACGGTACTCTGTACATGTCTAGAAGTTGTTTGATATATTGTCTACTTTACATAAAGATAACTGTACATGTTTAGAAGTTGTTTGATATATTGTCTACTTTACATGAAGATAACAGTAATCTGTACATGTCTAGAAGTTGTTTGATATATTGTCTACTTTCAGTAGAGTGTTCCTTTAACCTTGTTCAGGTAGATATAATGTGGTTTTACTTTCAGTAGAGTGTTCCTTTAACCTTGTTCAGGTAGATATAACGTGGTTCTACTTTCAGTAGAGTGTTCCTTTAACCTTGTTCAGGTAGTTATAGATGTAGAGGAAAGTAAGACTATCCTCTCTGTTGATTATGCCATAGTAATTATATGCTTTCTCCACTAGACTAATAAAATGGTAAACAGGTGTGTGCTATTGTAAATTAAAACATGTAGGGCAGGTAATATTGTTTTATGATGTGAAATAACTGAATACAAAATGAAAATAATGAACTTTCAAAATGCTTTTATTACTAAAAAATTTAAAACCAAAGTTTTCCCTGTCACTGTATCTACACACACACACACAGAGGGAAGGAGAAACTTAAATAGCCTTTCGATGATACTCTGGAGGAGCAACGTAGTAATCACTGAGGCTGTACAAGGAGGAATTTCGTCCAAGGTACCTAAAATTATAATATTAATATACACATAAGTAGGCTGTACAAGGTGCCTAAAATTATAATATTAATATCACAATCTTCCTATAAATGCTCTCAGGATATGTTAATATCCGACTTCTCTAGAGACTGTTGTAAATAATTTAACCAACTCACTTGAGAAAGTCATGGATGTGGTTGAGTAACAACTGGACACTTTTCTCATCCAATGGGGTATATGCTAACATACTTCCTAGTTTGACTGTAAAGAAATATATTCAAAGCACTTTGTGAATGTACAATCAGTAAAAAACCTTTATATTCAAAGCCTGCCACTTTGTGAATGTACAATCAGTAAAAAACCTTTATATTCAAAGCCTGCCACTTTGTGAATTTACAATCAGTAAAAAAACCTTTATATTCAAAGCCTGCCACTTTGTGAATTTACAATCAGTAAAAAACCTTTAAACTCTATTTAATAATTTTTTTATGTATCTAAATTCAGTACTTATAAAGCATATTGTAATTTTAATAAATAATAGGACCACAGTGATGTTTTTCAAGTTGTACTGAATTGATTGCTTGTTTTTCTCCCATAAAAAAATTTATACCACAACAGTAGAAACTCACCAAAAAGCCGAAGAAGATGTATGGCTCCGTAGATTTGACTCATCGGAGTGTCTGTGTATTCTGCTAAAACCTAAGGAAGAAAAACTCCAATAACACACCTCTTTCAATGCTTATTACATCTTGGTGACTAGAAACAAAACGCAAGAAGGTAGTTAAAATCTTATATTAATCAGATTCTCACCTCGGCATACTGAGGCCTCTCAAACTTGTAAAGTAGTTGACTTCCCAGCATCACATTAAAGTACTCTTTTATCCCGTTGGTTACCTCCAGTAGAGCACTTTCCCTGCAAGTCAACAAATATAAACTCAATCTCTTTATACCTAACTATTTCCAAACAAAAGACAGAAGAAATTAAATTCTGACAAAAAAAAATATTTTCTTTTGTGACTAGTATATTCTCAGGGACCTTCAACAGTTACAGATCAATGATTTTTCTTGCTAATTCTAGAGTTCAAGAAGTCCTTTTTTTCATTCTAACTTACCTGTTTGGTGAGATCCCTTTAGCTGAAGTTTTTTGCTTTATGTAATCAGCCAATATGGTGTCGACTGTCACACGAGCAGGAAGTTGTACTATCTGTTAAATGAATTATGATCTTTTATAGTGCTACTCTAATAATACTTTAGAATTAAGTGAAAAAGTTTGTTAAACTATTTTATATTTCATAAAGAAAATTAATAATTAATTCGACATAGAACAACATCTGTGAAACACTGTTTTTTGTAAACAAGATACACATTGCTAATTCTTTGACTGCCATCCAATTTATAAACCTAATTATTCCATGTTGAAATTCCTATAAACTTATAAATTCCAACAAGTAGATTCCATATTCAACAAATATTATTACCTTTTTCTGTCTGGTAACAAGATCCCAGTCATCGACTAACCACGGTTTTAATTCATCTGGTATTCTCACTTTGATTTCAACTCTTGTCAAAAATGATTCCTCCTCAAGTAAAGTAGACAATATATCAAACAACTTCTAAACATGTACAGTTATCTTTATGTAAAGTAGGAAAACCACATTATAACTACCTGAACAAGGTTAAAGGAACACTCTACTGAAAGTAGAACCACATTATATCTACCTGAACAAGGTTAAAGGAACACTCTACTGAAAGTAGAACCACATTATATCTACCTGAACAAGGTTAAAGGAACACTACTGAAAGTAGAACCACATTATATCTACCTGAACAAGGTTAAAGGAACACTCTACTGAAAGTAGAACCACATTATATCTACCTGAACAAGGTTAAAGGAACACTTACTGAAAGTAC